ATATCCAAACCCATGTCCGGATATGCTAATGAAGCGTTGGAGCAATATAGAAATCCAAAGTGATCAAACCCATGGAGGAGAATACAAAGCAAGCATAGTTCCGTAATTTATATAAGCGAAAAATAATATTCATACGAGTGAAATTTCAAACACCAGAAAACTATAATTAAATTATAAGTAATTTCTTACTTGAATCAGTTGTTGAGCCAACTGAACCTGTATTGAGGTGCCTTTAATTTCGACGGTTATTTCATCAGATAGGCCACCACTTTCTTGCACAGTTATGACGGCTCCACTAGTGCGCCGAATGTATGCAATATTAACTCCTCCAATCCCAATGATGTCCTCAGCATAAGAAAAAGGAATTTGCATGGTTTGAGCAATCTGATTCCAGAAATGCAATAAGAGAAATGATCATACAAAAACCGATTATATACATATATATAAATATGCATATATTGTATGAAGAATGTGTTGCATATGTCAAGTCTAGGCAATCATAACAAAGTTTCTCTTCAAAAGCCTAATTTAAACTAAAAAGCATCATTGCAAAATGTCCAGGCTGAATTAAATGTATGCAATATGAGCATTGTAATAAAGAGATAATTTGCCAAATTCAAGCTCTTTGACCCAAGTAGCAGTGATGTAAACCAAGTAGGGCATCTAAAATCTAGCTCAAAATAATTTTCTTCTCACCTTTTCAAATTAACTAACAATTAACATAGAAATAATACCAAGGAAAATCACCATTGGGTTATATTTATTTGACATCTTACGTAAAGGTTGTCTTTATATATATATATATAAATACTTCACCGGATTTGGAATATTGAGTACTAGATTTTCCTCTCATTGGTCCTCTTCATTTCTCTCCCTTTTACTCCTATTTCTGTTCTGTCCTCTAATTTTCAATCTCATCTCCATATACCCCTTTCTCTTCCTTGTTCGGCATCATAATCTCTAATCACTCTAGCCCATTTGTGAAAAGAAATAAAAAACGAGTAATAATAATTCAGGTACAAACAAAAGCAAACCTGAGTAACTATAGGAACAGCAGACCGATGAAGCCCTGAACTAGAATGCACCATCGAAAGTGCAGGATCCTGCCCAAAGAAAGAAATTCCAGAAGATGGGATTCGTGACTCGAACTGTTTTTCATGTTCAAGGAACAGAGACTCTCTCCTAATAGGAAGATCAATTCCGATTCCACTTTGAGAAGCAGTAAGCAGAGATAACTTTTCAGGCCTTGACTCTGCTTGAAGGTCTTGAGTGCCTACTGAATTATGCTGCAAACATTGATGGCACCACTTAACATGAAACAGTTGCAGGGTACAAAACAGTTTGATAGAAAATTAGAAATCGAACTTACTGTCTTTTCAAAGAGAGGAAGAACAGTTTGATCAACTAAAAATTTCCTCAGGTGGCTTACAACAGCTTCAAGAGCTTTGAGAACCTTCAGGGCTTCCCCCTGCAACTCTGCAATCCTCTCATCTGCTGCCACATAAGATGCAGTTTCCTCTGCAGAAACAGTGACAGTTCACCATAAAGACATAATCCCAAAACCTATGATTTATAGGGCACTTCTAGAACAGAAAAGAAGATACAAAAGCTTGGGTTTATTGTACAATTTGTATAATTATGATTGCCTAAAATAATCAACGGACATTGATTGTATAATTATGATTGTCCATGAAGATTAATCTGTTAAAGGTCTCGTGGTGTCCCCCACCCTCGGGTTTCTTCAAAATTAATGTGGATGGGGTTGTGACAAGTGATTGGAATAGCAGTGGAATTGGTGGTATATTGAGAAATGAAGAGAGCAAGATTCTGGGTTCTTTTTCAGAACCTACGGGTCCAGGTCCTCCTATACTAGCTGAATTGAAGGCCATTCAAACTGGTTTAGCTTTGTTTGTGGAATCAGAACGGTGTGGTAAGGGTCGGTTAATCATAGAGACGGATTCGGAAATTGCAGTCAATTGGATTAAGACTCCCGAAGTATGTCCTACTGTGTTCTCACAGCTGGTTAAGGAATTTGTCAGTGTTGTATTGGTATATAGTGTTATTATAAGATCTGTAAAAAGGGTTGTAAATTGGGAGGCTGACGGTTTGGCTAAGTCCGGTATAGGGTAATTGTTTAGTAATTTTTTTGTTTGGATGGTGTGTTTGTGGGGTGGGTTGAGATTATGTAGGTGGGTGGTGTTTTGTAACAGTCTGTTGATGTATGAGGTGTAGTTTCTTTATGGAATAAAATTTTTAGGCACTCTTTTCCTCCTTCCAATGTCTGCTGAGGTACTTATGTACAACGACGGGTATGAAGGGGTTTTTTAATGAGGCCTAGTTTCTTATAAAAAAAATCAAGAATTAAGAAGCATACAATTTCTATCTTTTACCCTTGTAATGAACAGAGCCATGAAGAATTTAGCCACAACTTTATTTGATTTGAGGTTCATTTCATGCGTAGCATAGGAAAGGATAGAATTACACAATCACAAAATTATCCTATATGAATAGAGTTGTACAACCCTATGGAAGAGGTTGAAGGAATGCATAATCCCACAAGAATAGTTGCAGAAAATAGGATGAGAGCATTAAAGTTTCAAGATAAAGACGCTTCATTAATCAATTCAAAGTCCTATGCAACAATTGAAACCTAAATGCATAGACGAGCAAGAAGGGAACTCAACCTCTCATGAATTAAACAAATACTTCGAAATGTAGGAAACAATACCTCCTGACAATACCCTCACAGATGCACCAGTGCTCTCTTGTAATGACTTGATTAAGGAGCCTTGCTTTCCAATCAAACTGATTGCTTGAGTAGATGCTACCAGCAACCGGATCGAACAAAATGTAGCTCCAACTGCTTTAGCATCGGTATCATTGTCAGGAAATCCAGAGACACGTTTGAAAACTCTTATAGCAGCATCCATTGCAGGGGAAAGAGGTGCCTCTGGTTCTTCCTTTCCAGATATTAGCACCTACGATAAAAGCCAAAAAATTCATTGAACCAATAAAGGGTAACGAGAAAACTGTAATTTAACTCAATATCTTGTTATTGCGTTACACAAACATATCTACTAACAGCAATTTGCATATGTTCCATTTTTATCCATCAAAATCACAGGAGACAAAGTCTTTGCCGTTAGCTCAAAAGCCAAAACCTTGCCTAATATACAACAGTTGTATTTCTCTAGACAGTAAAAGTTACAAAAGAGTATCTAAATTTATAGAAATCTCACAATGGGAGCTCACCTTTTACTTTCAAAGCATTTTTCGGTTGAAAATAAATCTCTTGAAACAGAAGGTGCAAGATTTACATCGATATGGATTAATTAGAGTTCGGAGTTGTCTTATTTTACCCTTTACTCTTTCTTTCTTCCTTTCTTTCTTCTAAAGCATATATCAACTAACGAGAGCAAATCCCAGACCGAAAGAATTCACAGCCACAAAATTTATTAACAAGAAAAAGAAATATTTCCAGTTTAAGTTCCAAAGGTAAAAAATGAGAGAAGACAAGAGAGTTACAATGCGATCGGGCGTCCCAACAGCGCCATCAAGGACGCGGATACGGGCGCGGGTTTCCTCGCACATCTTCTTGATTAGCTCACCTTTCCGGCCAATTATGCTGCCGACTTTCGTAACCGGAACGATGAGCCGAAACACGCAGTGACCGGGCCATCCGGGCCACTTCTCAGCTGCTGGATTGTTGGCCGTGGTTTCTGATGGGTCGGATTCTGTAGCCGTCGTTGTCTGGGTCATTCCCGAACCGTTCTCCGACGCGTCGGCGATTTCCATGGCGGGAGTTACTCGCAAGAGAGCTGGTCAGCGCTTCGAATGGTTTCTGTTTCGACTCGCTTCGGGAGAAAATGAAAGCCGCTGATTAAATCAAACGAATACCGTGGATCAAATAGGTGGCGTTTATATGGATCGGATGGGACGGAGATAGTAACGGGTCGGGTTGAATTTTCGGCCACCCGAATTTGATTTAAAAGTTCAGGTCTTTTACTTGATTGGAGATTATAAGAGTTCTATTTGATCTAAAATACGATAAGATATTTTAAGTTAAAGTTTGTATTTGACCTGATTTATATATAATTTATTTTATTATATAAAATAATAATTTAATTAAAATAAAAAATGAAGTATTATTTATAACTATCTTAAAAATATATAAATATAATTATAATATTACGTTAGATTAAGTCAAAATTTATTAGCTCGATATGAAATGCTCATCCCTAGATAGGCATGGGATAGACCAGCTCATATTTTTTTATTTACATAAATGTTAAAAGTTACAAAATGATCATTCAACTATTCATATGTTTCAAATCTATCATTTTTCTATTAAAAATTTAATGGTCGACTTAGTTGAACATAAACATGTTGTCTAGGTTATGATAAATTTTGATCATAAAATTATTTGAATTGTATTTTATTGATCTACTATCCGTTTACATTATGTTATCGATACAGTTCTTGAAAATTATTTCATCGAACCAGTATTTGAAAGTAATAATGATGTTAGTAAACATCATTAAAATATAATTTTATCACATCTGAATCAATATATTAAATTCCAACTCAAACAATAACCATTTTTTAACGAAAAGTAATTAGTTTATAACATATGAATAGTCGATAGATCATTTTATAAATTTTAATAGTCAATAGACTTAACAAAACATCATCCTATAATGAGAGGACTATCTTATAACTTTTAATAATTAAAGGACTTAACAAAATTATATATTTCAATCGGGATCATTTGTATATTTTATCTTATATTTTAATATTTATCACTCAATTTTACTCGAGTTTTAATTTTTTTATAAGATTCGAATTTTGATTTAACTATTTAGAATTGGTACTCGACGTGACGTATAGACATACTACATTAGTTGTCATTAATAAAGATATCTAAATGTTTCAGTGATCATTAGTGTAATTTACGCTATATATAAATAGCGACGACCAGTGCACAGTGGTGTGTTCGTAGTTCATAAACGACAGCAAAACAAGGAAAGCAAAGATTCGATGCGATCTCCACCGACCAAATCAAATCCCGAATGGACAATTCTTCCATTACTAGAAAAACCCGTTTTGGATTAACCACCATTTTCTTCATCGTGTTGTTCTTCTTCAGCATTCTCCTTTTCACCAAACGCACTCTCGATCCCTCCGTTTCCGTTTACCAGCAATCCTTTGCAGTCACCACCGTTCCCGGCCCACCACCGCCTGAGCCACGGAACTTATCGACCCACCATGAGCTTCTTCTTTCAATTTCCCAAGCTGATAAGCTTGAACCTTCTTCGAATACCACCAGCATCGACGATTCACTCTCTGCTCCAGAGAAGCCGAACCCACCCGCAGATGACGGATCTAATCCAGAGAAGCCGAACCCGCCCGTAGATGACGGAGCTTCTTCAGAGAAGACGAACCCGCCCGCAGATGACGGAGCTGCTACAGAGAAGCCGAACCCACCCGCAGATGACGGAGCTACTTCAGAGAAGCCGAACCCGCCCGCAGATGACGGAGCTGCTACAGAGAAGACGAACCCGCCCGCAGATGACGGAGCTGCTCCAGAGAAGCCGAACCATCCGCCGAGTAGCCTAGTTGTTGACAATGGTGAAGAGAAGAAGAGGGAAACATGTGATCTTTACACTGGAACCTGGGTGAAAGATGAAGAGTACCCGGTTTACAAACCGAGTTCTTGTCCTTTCATTGATGACGCTTTTGATTGCCATGGTAATGGAAGGAAAGATACCGATTACTTGAAATGGCGTTGGAAGCCTGATGACTGCGATCTACCAAGGTATACGCTCTCTTCATTTCCGAATGCATGATTTTAACTTAGGCGGACAAACATATAAAATTTTAGGTGGCGAAAATATATAATCGCTAGAAAATATAAATAGAACATTTGAATTATATGAGAATTTTAAATTTTTAAGGTGCGACTGCCTCGTCAGCCTCCCTAGACATGCTAGTGAAATGGTTAATTGTTGCTTTTTGAGGACTTCAAATATGCTAAATGATAAGTATTGCAAATCTGAACACCAAATCTATTGGATATCACATCTTAAGAATGGTTGTATGATTCAAATGAGCTAATAGTACAATACTCATGCTAAATGAATGACTTGATTTACCTAGACTTGTTGATCTAGTGTCATTGAAAATTTAGTATATTAATTAATTACTACTTCTCATGTTTTTCATAGTTTTTTGCTGAAATTAACCTATGTAGAAAACTTTTCTTAAAATGCCATGCATTCAGTTGTATGCATAAATGATAAAAGTACTAGAATTATCATTGGTTGATACCGGCTCGTAGAGTTTGTAATTTGTAATACTCTCTTTTACACCACTTCAGTGATAATGGTACTTCAAGGATGAGTAACTATAGTTATCACAAGCACTAAGTTAGAACGTCATGCTTCACGAACTGTTTGCTTTATCCTAAACCCACCGAGGCCAACACTTCTTTGATGCTCAAAATTATTGCAAAAGGATTTCGGGAAAACATGAAATGCCCATGTTGGAATCTTACACATATTAGAGTCCCCATCTCGAGTCCCTGTAACTTATCAAGTGGAATTTCCTTGCTACCCTGCTTACGGAATAGGTGTAAATTTAACTTTAGGAAGTTTTAGGAGAAAGTGATCCGTCCAGCTATATTGATATAAGAGTGTGGAGAAGGACCATACTCCTGGCAGCATGCTCCACCAGTTGATGCATTTAAAATTTCCCCAGAATGACAGATATTGTTTACATGTTGGGGTTTAGACTGTCTACAGTTGTAAGTTTGTATCATGTAAGATCAGAAAAGAGAGCGTCTTTGGTTATTTTGGGCTCTAGAGATTCTGGTAGTCACAAGAAAACAAAGGAAGAATCACTTGCAGAAAAAACAAAGGGAATGGCTTTCTTTTAAGTCCCTTCCATTTATTGTTCGTGTTGAATCGTAGAATTGATGAGAATTTGAGTATTTTAAAGCTCTAAATCACTTGTTAATAGATGACAATTTGAGTTATTGAAGCTTGGACCTAAAGAAGAGGTGTATCTTTTCTCATTCCGTGCATTTATCGTTGGTAATATTAACCTTGGACTTTCTATCATTTTTCAAATTCAAAGCACTCTCCTAGTGTTCATTCAAGAACCTAAGAATGTAATTAATACTTTCATCGTTCGGATTTTAAAAACTTGTAGTTTATCTTTGAAGCTATAAATATTGTGTATTGATGATATCCTATTTCAATGAATTTCCATTGTCTGTTTTGACTGTGTTTCCCTTTCACTTAACTCTAATGCTGATTAATGTCTGTTTCTGCTCTATTTAACCTTTTTCTGCATTTACTTTCTAATTGCAAGATCTTATTTATGTATCTATTTACGAATCAAACTCAGGTTTAATGCTACCGACTTCTTGGAGAGACTAAGAGGTAAAAAGGTGATGCTGGTTGGAGACTCAATGAACCGCAATCAGTTTGAGTCATTCTTATGCCTTCTCCACGAAGGCCTTACCAATAAGAGCAAAATGTACGAGGCCCGTGGCAACAAAGTATCTAAAGGAAGAGGGTACTTTTCATTCAAAATCGAGGTAACAAAATGCTTGTTATATATATTTCTTCATTACTTAAGTTGAATACATTCTTTTAAATGCTACATTTTTCCTTTATACTTTTGCCTTATATGTTCTTTTTTTTTTTTGGGGGGGGGGAACTTTTTCCCATAGGATCACTCAAAATTGTCTCATCGTCTCTTAAATCTTTCATTAGGTTTTCGTTAACTGGGCAAGTATTTTTTAAAACATCTTTTTCAGTTAACCTTTTGACCTCATCAAGCACTTCATGTATGATTTGATTCAAGAGTATAGACTTTATCCAATGCAATAATCTGCTATTGGTGGAATTCTGTAGTATACTTCTATTTGCAGTCTTGTATCTCGTTTCAAAAGCGGGCAAAAAGTTTACAGCATGAAATCTTAAGATATTTGTAATAATCAACAGAGTACTGACTACCGAGATCCTCCTCTGCATTTGATGGTCATATTATTTATTTTTATTTTGAAAAATAAACTAAAATTCAACGATAATTGGAAATGGAGCTTTCATTTCTTTATCATGTCATTGTAACTTGCAGACAAATGAAACCAGAGAAGGATTATATGAAAAACAGTGATTTTTAATTTCGAAATGATATATTTGAATTTCTGAGCAGGACTATGACTGTACAGTGGAATTTGTAAGGTCTCATTTCCTTGTACGACAAGGAGCCCGCACTCTATCGATAGATTTAATTGATAAGTCATCTCGTAAATGGAAGCGGGCTGATATTCTCATTTTCAATACCGGCCACTGGTGGGTTCATGGAAAGACCGCCCGAGGGTACTTTACCAATCTTACTTTCATTATTCTTCTTGTTTTTACATATTTCAGTCGTTGAATTTGCTTTCAGTTGAATTTTTTACCAGCATGGATTCTTGCCACCATGATGATCAAGTTCAATTCAGTGTTTTAAATGTTTTCTTATATTGTTTTTCCCAATGTTAGTCGGACTCGGGTGCGAGTGTTGAACATGGTTATGTTCAATTTTTTAAAAGTTTTTTCTTTCCGCTTTTCCATTTGTATCAAGCAAAGCCTTATGGAGAAATGAAGAACATGATCAATTGGTGCAGGGTGAATTACTACAGAGAAGTTGGTTATCTGTATCCTAAATTTGATGCTATTGAAGCTTATCGAAGAGCTTTGAAGACCTGGGGAAAATGGATCGATGACAATATTAAACCCGCAAAACAGTTGGTCTTCTTTCGCGGATACTCTTCTGCTCATTTCAGGTATAGCTGAAACCCAATTTATTTCCATTAAACTTGTTTCATTCTCATTTCATTAGTGATTAAAAAGCTAGACCAGATCGATGAGTCAGACCAATTAAACTGGGAACTAACCGACCATCTAACCCGGTATGGTATACTGGTAATATGTGCTATACAAGCATATGTTACATATACACATACACATATTTATATGCATATAGGATTAACTTCTGATCCATGAAATAGAGGTGGAGATTGGGACTCAGGTGGAACTTGTAACGGGGAAACTGAACCGATTTTGAAGGGAGGGGCCTTCATCGAAACCTATCCTCCGAAAATGAAAATAGTGGAAGAAGTGATTCGCAATATGAAGGTTCCTGTGGTACTCTTGAACATAACGAGGTTGACTAACTTCCGCAAGGATGGCCATCCGTCGATCTACCGCAAGGGCGCAACGGAAGGGAAAAAGGTTTCCAGAAGGCATCAAGATTGTAGCCATTGGTGTCTTCCCGGGGTTCCCGATGCCTGGAACGAGCTCATCTATGCCACTCTGTTCTTCAACGAACGATTTTCGAGAGGTAAAAAACATCTTTCAATGTATAGATTTGAACTTTTCCTTTGGCAAAACAGATAGATTAATTTCTTACTGTCAACAGGATAACTTGAAACTATTCTGGGAAGGACAATTCTAATGCTTCATAGCTGGGAACAATACCTGATTCCAGAAGTGGATTCGGTGGGTAATACCGGAACTTTTCTCGTTCCGATAACCCAGTAATCGGAACCGGCAAAACCCACCCATGCATGCTTGTCGAGAATTTTACGATTTTTAGAGTACAACCACAGAGTTCCGAATCGAGTTGAATCGGAACCTTATTCAGGGGGTCAAGCTCTCTTAGGGTCTTTTATCCGTAAGACTTGAATTCAAAACGTTGTTTATTACCACTTATAAAATGCAATTAATATTTAATAAAATATCGTATACAAATTTAATATGGTTAAATTACGCATTTAGCACCTAAACAATCAATTTTGATTTGTTTTAGTACTTAAACTTTCAATTTTTAAAAAATTATATTTAAAGTTTAGTTTTTGTTTCATTTTAGTATCATTGTTCAAAATTTAACGTTAATTTTTTAAAAAAAATTAAAAGTTTAGGTACTAAATATATTAAAATTGATAGTTTAGGTACTAAAAGCTTTAAGTTTCTAAGGGTGGATATTAAAATAAAACAAAAATCAAACATTAGGTATGATTTTGAAAGAATTAAAAGTTTAAGTATTAAAATAGATCAAAATTGATATTTCAAATATTAAATGCGTAACTTATCCTTTTAATATTTATCTTTTTTTTAACTATGTTAAAGAAACAGTCCTGCACGAAACTTTAGTTGTTAAATGAATTATCGTTGATTCTAAATATTACATATTTGAATACAAACGATTGTAACTGGATTATTGACCGTATTTAAAAAAATATTATGTTGTAATTCACTCTATGGTTTATTCTTTATTTTATGAATATATAATTTATTATTGTTAAAATAATAATATTAATATGTCCTTTGTCTCCTTTTGGTAGATATAATTAATATTTATTCCTTGATTAGATTCGCTTCTTGATTGGGTTTCGAGATAATATGCTTTGCTGATTTTCTAGTTGTTTCATTGTTTTTTCTAACCTTTTTACTTTGAATAAAGCATTTGGTTTCGAGATAATTATGATGCTCGATAGTTGTAAAATTTTCAATTAAATTTAAAATCGAATCAAATCTGAAATTATCCTTTTAGGACTTAAGTTTATTCAACATTATTTTTTATCGTAATTCCAACGATAGATCGGAGGAGTGGCAACGGCGAGGAATACAACTACTTGGATTTTGATTGGAATTGACGGCGGTGTGATTGTGAATGTCGAGATCAGTTAGAATTGACAAAGAACAACGGCAACGGCTTAAAGTCCGACGAATTTTTGAACTCTTCCCCGTGGCAAATGGTGGTAGATCACGGTGAAATGTTGACGGGGTTTCGATCGGGACAAGATAACGTTTTCGGTGATGAGGGTAGTGACGGGCACAAGTGATGGTGGCTGGGATTGGGGAGGGGTTGTTCGAACGATTTCGTCATAGCTTTACGACGAATGATAGTAGGTCTAGGTGGTTGGTGGTCGGTACTTGATCGAGGATCGAAATTGATGCTGATTGAAGGTGGATGACCAGCAGCTATGGAAGGTAAAAAGGAAAAGGGAAAAGAGGGAGAGGGAGATGGTAGAGACTTTTTTTTTTTAAGTTTTTTTAAAATAATATATTTATTTTTTTTAAAAATGAAAAAAATATTTGAAAAATTATATATGATACACATGTTAGATAAAGATTAAATTTAACAGTCGTTACAGTCTATGCACCTAAATATGTTTAAACGAAAACGTTAAATACCTAATTTTAATAAAAAAAATAAACACTAAAATATTTTTTAAAATATAATTTAAACACTTATTTTTATATTAAACCTTATAACGATTATATGAGAAATGTTACACTCTTTTCCACTTGAACTATACATATATTTATTAAAAGCCCGTGATTAAGCCAAGTAATTATATTATATTCGCCGGGTCACTTCATATTGAAAAGCCCGTGAAATAAAAATAGGGCAAAGTACATTTTATATCATTAATTAATGTTCATAGGATTATTATTAAATTTTTAAAAATTATAAATAAAATTTTAAACAATTATAAAATTATCATTAAATTTATTGAATTTTTACAAAATAGTCATTAAATTTATCATATAAAATATTAATTTAATTTATTATATTTCTTACAATTTATTATAATATCACAATTACTATTTTGTATTCATTCGATAAATTTAATGATATTATTGTGACTTTTGAATGTGTAATGACCCAAACGATTATCCGTGCATTGTTCAATAACATCTAATGTACTTTACTCTTAAAAATAAAAATAAATTTGACTAAACTATATGTAATTGCAAGGTTATTATCACAGCAATAAATGTGATAATCAAAATCATACATCCAAAAATTAGGAATGGATGCAAAATTTATGTAATAGGTGTAAATATTTTAGTTATATTAAAAATTTATGAGATACATAATTAATTTATTAATCTAGTGATTAGGTTGTAAATGAGTCGAGACAGTTCCTAAACAATTCAAGATCGACTCGATCAAAATTCGATAAATTCTGTACATCTTAGGGTTTTGTGGAACGAATTTTTCGTTATTCTACTGCGTTTGTTGTCGTATTGTTTCTTGAATTTCATCTCTTGTTTTGCTTTGCGTTTTGAATTCGGTTTTCATTTTTTCCAAGATTTTGAAAGAAGTGGCGCAAATAAGTTCGTCTTTCGCCGAAGCTTTTGCAGCAATGCAGGTAATGTTCTCAGCTAACTTACTTTAAAATCAAATTGAAAGCTTTGAATGGATCGCATAGGCTATCGTGTTTGAAATCAATTCGCTTTTATGTATTGGCAAGAAACGTTGCTGGAGTTTCGTGCTGGTAAAATGTCGTTGGAAGGAAAAAGAGTTGTACCAGATACGCGTAAAGGACTCATTCGCATAGCCCGGGTATTATTAATCAAAGCAATTTCAATTATACGTATTTTTTTATCTTTTAGGTTATACTAGATTTGCGGTGTGTTTGGATAATGGAATTTTTGTTCTTTAGAAACTGTTGTGAGCTGACCGATTTTCTGTTGCAGGGTGAGGAGGGACTGGTTCATTTTCAGTGGCTTGATCGGACTCAAAATGTTATTGAAGATGTATCCCACTTTAGTTTGATTTGTTGCTTCACTTAATTTTTTTTTCATATTTACATTGAAGCTTGCAGGTGTTATCGCAATAGTTTTTCTGTTGTGACATTTGTTTTATGCTGCATCTGATCTGGTAGTCCAAGAATCTGTTTTGCGCGCCCGTGTGCGTGTCTATGCAAGTGCATGCATTTCATTCTAAAATGCACTTGGGAGGGGTTCTTATAGTTTAATATTAGTTCAGCATGCATGCACATTACACATTGGATGTATAATATTAACGTTAACTATTATTCACATTAGTTTTGCCTTCTCATCTTTGTTAATATCCGAAATGGTTTGCTCTGTTGCCATCTTTGCTATTGTAGTCAGGAGCACTGTTGTTATTGTAGTACACATTGTTTTTTATATTTTCGTATGGCTAACTGGTATTGTTAAGGATTGATTTTTTATTGTTGTTGAACAAACTTAAAAAGAAGATTGTTACTTTTTAGTAATTAATTTACTGCTTTTATAAACAGAACTAAGTACAAAAAAGGAAACAATCCTTAAAAATCAGTAACTTCCTAAGAATTAGAGACTAAGATTAGATCCTACTATACAAGGTAACTCCTAGGACTAAGGTAAGTATTTTGTCCTTAATCTTAGGAATTCTAACACTCTCCCTCAAGCTGGAGTATAGCTATTTATCAAACCCAGCTTGCCAATGAGCTCCTCGAATATGTTTCTGCTCAAGCTTTTATTTAGCAAGTTTGCAACTTGTTGTCTGCTAGGTGGGTAGGTGGTGTACACTTCTCCTGAGTTAATTCTTTCCTTGATGAAGTGGCGATCTATTTCTACATGTTTGGTGCGATCGAGAATAAGTCCGCAGTTCTGGAGCTTGTTCTTGCTGTCTCTTTGGATTGGGCTGTTGTTGCTCATTGATCGTGCTTATTTCTTGTTGCTTAGGGGAACCAGTGTCTAAATCTGGAACTACATTGACACCCTGATTTGTAGGCTTGTTGGTGATAGTGGTGGTAGGATCAGTAGGTATAACGAGGAGGGTGTTAAGGGTCCCATCTTCATTGAGAGTCTCCCCCTGAAGATGAGTTGCTGCAAAATATGGTTCATTCTAAAAAAAGGTGACATCTCGAGAGATAAACATTCGACGTAAGGTAGGTGAATAACACATATAGCCTTTTTGTGTTGGAGAATAGCCAATGAAAGCACAAGTGTGGGCTCGAGGATCAAGTTTGGACTGACTTGGTTGGTGATTGTGGACAAATGCTTTGCAACCGAAGATTTTGTTTGGAAGATTGGGAACACGAAATAAGGGAAAAGCCTTTTAAAGGATAGTTATAGGTGTTTTGAAGTTTATAACCTTTGATGGTAGTCGATTTATGAGATAGCAGGCTGTGAGGACAACTTCTCCCCACAAGTATTTTGGGACACCCATGGTGAACATTAGTGCTCGAGCCACAACAAGGAGATGACTATTTTTCCTCTCGGTGATCCCGTTTTGTTGAGGGGTGCCAGGACAAGAACTTTGGTGTATGATGCCTTGGTTAACAAGATAAGGACTTGGGACAAAATTAAAATATTCTCTCCCGTTGTCAGTGCGGAGAGTATGTATGGTAGAGTTAAATTGGGTTCGAATCATTGAATGAAATTTTTGGAAAACTTGAGGTGTTTCTGATTTTTCTTTGAGAAGGTAGACCCAACATACCCTAGTGTGGTCATCAATGAAAGTTATGAACCACCTAGCTCCTATAATAGTTTTACTCGGATGGCTCCCCATAAGTCACTATGAATTAAAGAGAATGGTTGGGACTGGTTATAGGGTTTTAATAGGTATGGTACACAGGTGTGGTTGGACAATTGACATATTTCACACTTCAAGGAATTAATACTTTTATTTCGAAATAACAGTGGTAGGTGTTTCTTCAAGTACAAGAAGTTTGGATGTCCTAGTCTACGGTGCCATAACATGATTGTGTCCTCTTTCGAATTAGATAGAGCCAACCCTTCTTGTCCACTGTCTTTATTCCAAACATAGAGACCATCAACTTTAGCAGTGCCAATCATCATCCTCGATTTCTGTTCCTGTACCACACAACCAGTTGCAGAAAATTCAACAAGAACACTTCCATCCTTGGTTAGTTTACTGATTGAAAATAAATTGCAGGACAGGTTTGCGACGTGTAGGACTTTATCAAGAGAAAAATTCTTTGTTAATTGTATTTTTCCAACTCCAGCCACAGGTGAGTAAGAGTCATCAACAATGCAGATTCGGGACTAATTATGACAGGGTGTGTAGGTGTGAAACATGGTGGAGTTACCTGTTATATGTTCGGAGGCACCCGAATCGAGCATCCAAGAAGATTGGTTGTTAGGTTCAAAAGCAATGTTGAGGGCAATACCTTGAGTGGCTAGGGATCCATGAGCAGTAGAAGTACTAAGTATCTTATGGAGGGTCTCAAGTTGAGTTTTGGTTAGGCGAACATCGAGAGCTTCATCTGCAGGAATGGAGGTGTTAGAGTACACTAGTGCAGCCTTATTATCCTTCTGATTTTTTCCAGGATAACCATGGAGTTTGAAGCATTTTTCCTTGGTCCTACACGGTTGCAGTTGCTACAGTAAGGCTTGGTTGAGCCCGAACCATTTCCAGCACAGGGCCTTTGTGGTTGTGGACCTTTGGAGATAAGGGCTGAGTTTTCAGTGGGACGGTAACCAGTAGTTGTCACAGGTTTAGGTTCCTTTGAATCTCCCATCATGACAAGTCGACGTTTATCTTCTCTTCTAACTTCTACAAATGCTTTACCAATGGTTGGCAGGGGGGGTTTTGCCCAAAATTCGACCATGAACCTCATTTAGCTCTCGGTTCAGTCCTGCTAGAAACTCATAGAAACGATCGTTGTTGAGGTGAGTCATAAACTTTGTAACACCCCCAACCCGTATCCGACCCGGATACGAGTCCGAAGTGTCACATTGACTTTTCAAACCTTGACTCTTAAGAAAAATCCCGGGAAATTTAAAACTTTATTTAAAACAAAATACAGACTTTATCAGAGTGCTCGTACTTAATGACTTATTACATGCCAACACTTTATACATAACCAAAAACATACTTTGTCAAATATTTCTGATCTGATCTTTTGGTAAGGAAACTGACCTGTCTTGCTCCGCATCACTCCTTACTCTTCTCGAAACCTACGTGTGAAACAATCACACGCTAAGTCGAAGACTTAGTGAGGCATAACAACTTATAATGCACTTTAAAATCTATATTGATACATGCATGTTTTGTTCTATCATGTTACAGCAAGTTCATGCATTTTTCATATCGTATAAAATCAGATCAGATTAATTGCAGTAAATACATGCATACACATAATTCATCATTAACAGTTTATCATATAATCACATACTATTTCAATCAAACACTATACACACACAACATCATATCATTTCTATAGCATTTATCATACCAATAACTTATATTTGTTTATATCTCTGGATTAGCCCATGTACATATGTGAGAACTATCGATATGTGAGTCTATAGAGGTTGTGCACTATGCTGTCACCACAGCTCGTATAAATGCACCGAAGTGCCCGTAGAATTGCACCGAAGTGCCCGTAGAATTGCACCGTAGTGCCCGTAGAATTGCACCGTAGTGCCCGTAGAATGATGTCCATAAGGACCACGTAGAATTCCTTAAGAATCATATACATATACTATGGATCAAGTATGTGTCTTTCAAGACTTCACACAGGTTCCAAAGGATATACATATGTCCTAAAGAACCGAATAAACCCTCGACTCTTGGCATGCCAACTATACCCCTAGCTCTCATGACACATAACATGGGCGTTATCATTTATTTCATTTCAAATATACACATAAACTTGTAATTCACTTTCACATATCACGTATCACATAGCTTCTTTTCATATGATCACATAGTCACGTAGTTCACTTACCCGTAGATCATTTCCATATAATTCACATGTCACATATGTCATGTTTTCATATAATTTCTATCATTTCTCACCCAATCACCTTTATTCATATAAACATACTTATCATGTCTTGTTCACATAAGATCATATACTTCATATAATATATCGAAACACCTAGAACACTTTCCCGTAGCTTATAGTCATAAGTTTTGTCTCGTAACATATACTTGTTTTCACATATATATATTTCCTATCAATTCTTATACCATCACATAATTCCTTTAACATACATAACATATCATGTAACATTATAATAGAAATACTTATAAGTCATATCACTTAAAGCACATATATTTATAGTCACATTGCTTATATCTTAATCGTATGCCTTCTCTTAAATATATATATTCCCATGTTCAGGTAATTCACCATTTCATCACATAATTGGGTATTCATATAACTCATTTCATTTCATTTCATATCTATCTATATATATATATCCTCAAGATTATCCTAATATAAATCATATAGCACTCTTATATTTCGTATTCATCTAGGGCAGACTTATAAACATATTTCACTTCTATTATTTCTATATATAATCTAATCTGTTACTTAATTCAATTTCATATAGCTCTTATAATCTTCTCCTATAACTTCACAAATTTCCATCATTCAACCCATGTATTATAGTTTTATTTAAACCTATGAATCTTTCCCATCTAGCTTATCTTATACGTTCATCTTATCATTTATGTTCAAATCCCCTAGTTGGTGTACTATTTTCACTTCCTCCTATAGATCAATATTATCCATTTTATTTCACTTATCATATAAAAATATAATTATATTTTACTATGATCACATAGTTTATATCTCATACTTTGCTTTCTCATATTCACCTATATCATGTCATATGGCTTATATCTTTCTCATGCAGTCACATAGTTCAGTTTCACATATGTATATATATATATACCTTATTTAGCACATACTTCTCATAACATTACATTCAAAAGCATGTCAACACATATATTCATGCCTACATACAATTCATGTCATTCATATACG